ATTTACAAAATGGAGTACTACTCAGCAGAAAAAAAAAAACAAAAACAAAAAAAAAAACAATGGAATCTTGAAATTTGCAGGAAAATGGATGGAACTCGAAGAAACCATTCTGAGCGAGGTAACCCAATCACAAAAAGACAAACGCGATATGTACTCACTCATATGTGGACCTGCTTTATGATACATAGTAGTGACCGTGCTTTATCAGAGCTGTTTTTAATGATGTTGCTCAGAATTGTTTCCTTCCAGATGATGATTGAGAAGCTAATTTTTTTAAAAAATGGTGCCAGGTACCACAAGAGTAACACAACTGTGCTATTTCCTGGGATTTTGTTTTTTACTTTTTGTTGTTGTTGTTGTTGTTTTTAAATGGAGTATGCTGGATGTCTCTACAATTTTGTTCAAATGACTGAAGAACCTGGATAAGCTGTTGCTGCTATTGATGCACAACATACTGCTATTATTGGTCTTCCATTTGTACAGGGGTAACACACTGTATTAAATATGTAAGGTCTGATCTACGTGGGTTTGATTACAAAAACTAATAAAATATTCTCTAAATAAAAGAAAAAAAAAGAATCTAGTCCTGGGGGAGCCACTGTGGCACTCCCTGTAGAAGCATTATGGCTAATATTACCATGAATCCAAAGAGAAGAGGGGGCATGGTGACTCCTGTCTCCAAGTGTCCCCTGGGAAATTCCTCAAGCTTCAGCCATGCATAGAACCATTAGCATAGACCCATTAGCATGCACAGACCCATTGCAGCCAGAGCAGGGCTGAAGACCTAACTAGTGTCTGAGTCAGAGGATGGTCTGGATGGACATTCACAGGTCTCTTCCTCCTCAGGCAATGCTCCTTGCTTTCCACAGGTGTGGTGGATGACACCTGTAACTTAGTGTTTAAGTGAGTGTCCGTAGTTCAGCCTGATATGATGACTGGTTCTATGGCAGAGCCTCTGTCATATTAAAATCTCCTTGGAACTGAACCCAGCGATCCATAGCCAGTGTGTGTGTGTGTGTGTGTGTGTGTGTGTGTGTGTGTGTGTATGAAGGCAGACACCTTAAGATTTTATTGTGCTCTTATCATCCAAGCAAACTCAGCCCTTCCTCTTGGGAACCTGGTACAGTGCATTATTCCTCTGGCTCTTTATGCAGGTGCAAAGGTCCCTTTAAGAGACAAGCTCTGCCCACTTTCGCCCTCTTCTGCTGTTTCTTCTTCTGCTGCTGCCTTCTGAGGAGGCAGAATAATATGATAATTCAATGAGGCTCCCTTATGGTTCAGACATTGTAGCACTCAGTCTGAGGATTCCTGGAGACAGGATCGCCCATTTGGTTTGGTAGAGGTAAGAAGTCTTTCTTGTGATTGGCTCTTTTACTTCTCTTACCTTTTAGCTTTTACCTTGATATCTGACTCCGGGTTCTTAAGGCCAATTAAATTCGTGCTGTAAGACCTCCAAAATATTTTTTTCCTCTGGCCCTTTTAAAACTTGTATCTGTAACCTTGAGTCAGTTAAATAGAAAACCACAAAAAACAGACCTCTAAGAAATTCAGAAAGTGGTGCCATCAAGTTGATTTTTTCCTTACTCTGTCTATGTCTATGTCCTTATAACTGAAAGTAAAAACAAAAACAAGACTATCCAGACTTGGTGGAGTAGAAACAAAGGCAGACCACAGGCACAGGGTAAAGGAACCCCAAGAAAAGAAAGACTATCAGTGAAAGGAAGCAAGCTGGGGTCAGGTCCAAAGGACACTCTGCTCCCCAAACTCTGGCACCCATTTCCAGCAGCCTACCAAAGGAGCCATTCCTTATCACTGCAAGAAAGGACAAATGACTGTCTTTGGTACCTATTAGCATACCAAAGCATGCTGGCCTCTGGTGGCTTTATCTGGTGTGAGATCCTCTCTCCACCTGGCTTAAAATCTGTGTCCCCTCCTGTTGGGAACCTGAATCCTTATGGCTCTGCCAGCTGGCAAAAAACACACAAACACACACACAGACACACACACACACACACACACACACACACACACACACACACACCACCAGCAGCAGCACCACCACCAGCACCACCACCAACAAAACAAAAACAAAAACAAAAAAACCCTCCACCTGTCCCCTCCAGGAACATGAACACTTGCTTGTTTTGTTGCTTGACTCCTGCTCACAGTCAGGGTTGGTCCTTGTGTGGAGGTGGGAGGGGCTGGGCCTCTCATCCAGGCCCTCCTTGTCATCTAATGGGAATGCACACAGGGAGGGGGAAATAGTTCCTCCAGGTGAGCATTCCCTCTGCTCCCTGCTTGCTCCAAGCAGCCCTGGGAAGGAGAGAAGTTCCCCCGGACTAAACTGAAGGAAAACAGAAATTTCCACTCTTTTCTCTTTCATGATTTATGTCACTTTTTTTTTTGTTTTTGTTTGTTTGTTTGTTTGTTTGTTTGTTTGAGACAGGGTTTCTCTGTGGCTTTGGAGGCTGTCCTGGAACTAGCTCTTGTAGACCAGGCTGGTCTCCGAAGTCAGAGAGACCCGCCTGCCTCTGCCTCCTGAGTGCTGGCGTTAAAGGCGTGTGCCACCACTGCTGGGTTTTTATGTCACTTTTTAAAACCAAGAATCCACATATAATTGGAAAAGCCCATCATTATCTTAAAAAAAGAAAGGAATGAGCATTCAACACACATTTTGAGATGACAGTTCTCCTGACTTCAGATGAACTTTCTTCTCGCTAGAATGAAAGAGAGAGGAAAGAAAGAAAGAAAGAAAGAAAGAAAGAAAGAAAGAAAGGAAGGAAGGAAGGAAGGAAGGAAGGAAGGAAGGAAGAAAGAAAGAAAGAAAGAAAGAAAGAAAGGAAGAAAGAAAGAAAGAGAGAGAGTCACTCACACACACATTGGGATTATCTGTACTTCTCTGCCATTTGCGGATGGTGAGCTGTCTGAAGTCCAACTCTCACCCTAAACGGCATACCACAGTCATTGAGATATGCACTATGGGTAGAATGCCACTAAGGACCCTAAATGTCACTGAATGATTCACACAGAAGAAATCTGAATGACACTACAAAAACTTTGAGAGCTGACATGCCAAGGAATAAAATAGGATAATGAAATCTGAATCTAATGAGATTGATTTGCTAAATTAAAATAAATCAATAGAACTTAATAATTATAAAGATCAAAGGCTCTTATGAGGTATTATTTAAAGTCGTCAAGGTGCCTAGGAATGTATTATAACTTAGTTGGTAGAATGCCTGCCTATCATGTATGAAGCCCCCTACTTGGCCATCAGATTCACATAAATTGGATGTGGCAGTGCCCACTTATTTCTAGCATTCAGGAGGGAGATGCAAAAGAATCAAAAGTTCAAGGTCATCATCTGCTACATAGTGAGTTTGAGGTTTGCATGGACTACACAAGATCCTGTCTCTAAAAACTAAATCAATTAACCAGCCAATAAATCACAGTTGTACATGGTAGCTCATACCTATAATGTCAGCGCTCAGTACTTGGAGGTTGATGCAGGAGGACTTCCATCCATTTGCAGCCAGCCTGGGCTACATGGTAAATTCCAGGACAGCCTAAGATAGAGTCAGACCTTATCTAAGAGAAATAAAAAAAATGTTTATGTGAATAAAATTTAATATTATTTCCAGGTGTGCTGTGTATGCCTTTACTCCTAGCACCCAGGAGGCAGAGTCAGGCCAATGGAGCTCACAGCCAGCCTGGTCTACACAGCTAGTTATAGGCCAGCTAGAGTTACACAGTGAGACCCTGTCTTGAACAAAAATGAAAAGCAGAAACAACGAGAAACACCAAAAATATTGTTAAATTAAATTATTTAAAATAAGTTGTAAGAATAAGATGAATTTTTTTATTTATTTGATCTTGGTCCAAAAAGTATTTATGTTTTATTAATGACAAAGCTGCATGACCAGAGCCACCAAAAATACAAGAGTGCCATCTACTGGTCATCAGATTACCTAACAGCATGGTGAAGCTGCACAGACTACTTCAGATTGTGTGCCTCAGGTGTAGAGTATGTAAACTATGAGAGAAGGATGGAATAAAAATTGAGAAACATGGCTTTGAAATTTTCAGGAAACTGAAAAATATATACTCAAAAGTTCACACAAAGTATATTGTCAAATGTAGAAGAAAATGGTATAAAATATCTTTTCAGTTCCCATGCCTCTTTTCCAGAGTAGAAATGAAACATGGATATCAACAACCACGATATATGCATATATATGTACAGTATGTTTAGAATCATTCAATAGTTTAACACATTTTGAAAGAGTTATTTTAATATGTTGAAATCTGCATTTTTGTAATGTGGTAGTCTAGTTGGCATGTACCAAATGGTTTTACACACAACTTTGACTCTTGTGTCCTTTCAGAAAAAAAAAACAATAATAACAGCAAGAACAATGGTTAAGTTGATGTTATTTTTAGTTCTTGTTCTTTTATTTAGTTAAAAGACACGGTCATTAGTTCATCTCTAACACAAGAGTTTGATGCGCATTGGAAACAACAATGTAAAGACTCACAATTTTGACTCTGGAATATCACAGCTCTAAGGAGTATTGCAGATCAAAGTCCTGAACCCACAAAAGGCAGTAGTTCTCAAAAGGTCACTACTTTTCTTCTGTCTGCAACAAATTTACATTATGATTCATAACAGTAGCAAAATCACAGATATGAAGCAGCAACAGAAATAATTTTATGGTTGAGGGCCACCACAGCATGAGGAACTGTATTAAAGGGTCACGGCGTCAGGAAAGCCGAGAACCACCACACAAAAGGGAAGAACAAAAGATACAGTTGTCACTATTATTTTGCTTTCCTTTCACTGACGCTGACCATGTATGGTATTTTTAACATTTCTATCAATCAAATCAATGCACATTTACTGAAGGTTCAGTAAAAGCATTGGAATAGCAGTGAAGAAAAGCATTCAAGTTTCTTCCTTATGGGATTTATGCATTTTCTGTGCTACTTAAACCGTGGGGATTTTACCTCTTCCCTTGATCATTTCTGGCAGGCAGGAACAAAGGAGAATTTTCATAAACCTGGAAAAAGAGCCTTAGAGTATCCCAGAAGGAAGCCTTGGGGAAGGCGAAGATGTGCGAGCCAGTGGTTATGTTGTAAAAGGAGACAACTCCAGCCTCGTAGTCTAGGAAAACTCCACAAGCTGGGGCTTCTCACTCAGGCAAAGGGGAGTAGGAGTGGAAGTGAGAGCTACAAGGCCATCCTCTTCACACATCTTGATGGTCCAGTATCCCAGCTCAGGCTCCTTCATGTGAAAGCCCCTCGGCACATCCTCTGTACAGGCTCCCATATCCCAAGTGCTTGCATTCTCAATAGACACTTCGAAGTAATATCTTCCTGAAGGAAATTCCTTACTGCCCAGGACACAGGGCAAAACATAAAATCTCTTGGCAGAAGCCTCAAGCTTCTTGTGGTAGTGTCTATAAGTCACTTGTCTTTGGTCTTTAGACAGAGTTAGGTCACGATGGGCTCTACTGGGGTCCAGAGTCACACTGACTGTAAAACAATCACAACCTGTCTTTTGGGAGCTGGAAACACAATGCTTTCCAAAGAAAAAAGTCTGTGCTCAAATCTGGGCATGATTTGAACATTTAACTTTTAGCTACACAGCCTATAATAAAATAACTATAAAGGGGAAATCATTATGCCTATTGTAGACATCAGTGGGGAGAGTTAAATGAGTTAATGTTTCTCTGGGATACAGTACATGCCTAATAAGCTGTGGTAGCAATACCATCAATCCCAGCATCTTGGGTCATTCCGAGATGCCAAGGATCAGAACTATTTGGAGTCATTCTGGTTCTGTTCTGCCTAAAACTCCCCTGCATTTGGAACTTTTAGGATTTCTGACATTGATTGTAGAGCATAAAGGAACCCTTCCCCTCTCTGTTCATGTTTTATACAAACACAATCTCAAAATAAAAGAAAAGAAAACACAAATAAGCAGAAACCACAAGCAAAATAATCACCAGCCGAAACAAAACAAGTGACTTTCCCAAGCTTTTATTGACAAGAAGTTTTTGAATTTTGCTATCATGGAAAAGAAGCTATCAGATGTAGCAAGCACTGAGCAATAGAACTGAGCAGGAAGCTTATTCACTGGGATCAGTAACACTTCATTTTTATCTTGTATCTAACATGTGCATTCATTATCTGAGAAGAGTCTCCGTCTTAGTTAGGGTTTCTATTGCTGTGGAGAGACATCATGGCCACAGCAACTCTTATAAATAAAACCATTTCATAGGGCTGGTTCATTTACAGTTTCATAGAATCAGTCCATTACCATCATAGTAGGGAACATGAAGCATATAGGCAGACATGATGATGGAGAAATAGCTGAAAGTCCTACATCTTGCAGGCAACAGGAAGTCGACTGACACCCTGGGCGGTATCCTGATTATAGAAAACCTCAAAGCCCTCCCCCACAGTGACACACTTCCTCCAAGTCACACTTCTTAATAGTGCCATCACTCCCTTTGGGAATTATTTTCTTTCAAACCACCCCATTCCCTAAAATCATTTCCAGCATACTACATACTGATTAGCTACTGTGGTGTCTGAGTGACAATGGCCCCCATAGATTCATATCTTGGAATACTTGATCCCCAGTTGGTAGAAATCTTTGGTAAGGATTAGACAGGGTGGCCTAATTGGAGGAGCTGTGCCACTGGGGCTTTGAGGTTACAGAGGATTCTAGCCATACCCAGTCTCTACTTTCCACTGACTACTTGCAGATCAAGAAGATGTAAGCTCTCTGCTGCTCTTGCCGCCATGCCTGTGCTCTACCATCATGAACTCTAACCCTATGAAACCATAAACCCCAAATTAAATGCCTTCTTTCATTTACTGTTTCCTTACTGTGATCAAATACCTAACAAAAACAACTGGGTGGAGGGTGAGGGGATATATTCCTCCATATTTCAGAGGAATGCAGTCCATCACAGATGGAACGTGTATCTGCAGGGATGATTTGGTCCCTAGCACTGACTAGGAAGCAGAGATCTGTGATAGGCTTGCTTTCTCTTTTTTCTCTTTTCTTTGTTTAAAGACTCCAGCCCATGGCATGATGCTGCCCACATTCAGAGTGGACCTTCCTTTCCTCATTTATTTCACAGGGAGAGACTGGTGTTTCCTGCAAAGACATGGCTAATATTAGAAAAGCAGGACCTAGACAGCTCTGTACAGAGCTGTGCATAGTATGAAAAGGATGCTAAATACTAAGAAGCAAGAGTGTGACAGCTCCTCGAAAAGCAAGCAACCAGATCTTCAGATGTGAGTAATATCCTGGAGCAACTGTAGAAACCAGGAAATTAAAAATGGACCATTTCTGGGATGGGGAGGTGTTAGGGAGCAATAGAGAGGAGAATAGTACTGTATAAGTGATCTGATTGGGGAAAAGGGAAAGGGGGGTCTTTGGCGTGGAATGAGGGAGGTAAATCCAGAAGAAGGAGGGAGGATGGCAAAATAACAGTAAGGAGGTCTTACGAAAGTCAAAAGGAGTCATACTATTAACTATCTTTAATTTTAAAACAAGTAATTCTGTGCATAAGTAATAGATACATAGTTTGAGTGAACTTTTCTCATCTGGATTGACAATGTTTCCTTCAAGATTCAAAATGGTCTAACAAAAACCACAATTCCAGACATGAGAGCTCTTGAGTTGCTGGTCAGGGTAGATCAAGAGATTTCCAGAACATACAGCCTATTGCTATTGCCCTTACAGGTGGAAGGTAAGTCCCTATTGTTGAAGACACCATGAACTTCAGACACAGGGATCAGAGGCCTCTTGTCTGCAACTGACCCGACTGCCTCCTCCCTAAGGACTAGTTTTCATGGTACCAGAGGTGTCATGAAAGCTTCCAAATGAAGGAAGCAACCAACAGTCCTACCCAGCTATGATGCCTCTGAACAATGACCAACATTACACAGTAACCACAAGGGAATAGTAGTGGTACACACACCTTGGTAGTAACCAACAGCTCTCTAATTGGACTTAAGACCCACTCAACAACGGGGAAACTATGCCTGGTTACTGGAAACTCAGCCAGCTACTCAGTGTTAGTGAATTCATGGATCTTGGAGGGGAACCCACAATCACACCTTACTAAACCAACACAGTCTCTAACTACAATCTAAATATTTGTTCTTGTACCCACAGATAAGTGTAAAAAAAATAGAAGTGAGGAGGTGTTGCAGCAGGAGGTGAGACTGTCTCCTGTGTAAGATCCTCCAAGCCATAGATCACACACCTACCGTGGTGGTGTCTTACCAGTGTCTCCACATCAAAGTAAAGCTCAGAAACATTACATGTCATATTAACCTTCAGGAAATCAACTTTCAGTGTTTCTAGGTTCATAGCCTCACACCTAGGAGAAACAGAAGACGGGGCTTTCCTCAGTGTTGTATTCCAGTCAGCAGTATATGCCCTGACCCCTTCTTTTGGGTGTTCATGCAAGACTTACCTGCTCAAAGTATTTTTCACACCCTGTGAATAAACAAAAGCAGGGGATTGTATTTACATTAGGTCTCATGGAGTTTTCCACATGAAGCTACTTTCTGAAAAAACTCTCACAGAAGGAATAAGAATCACCTACCGCCCCATAAGATGGACACCGAGGGGTGTTTTACATCCAGTCTCTGGCCAATAAAGTAGGAGCCTGCTTCTCTATTGTAGAAGCTTGTTGACCTGTAAGACCTACAGTGTGGACTTCTTGGAATTCGAATTAATGTCTTTGCTCATCCTTCCTCTGGCAAGACTGCTTTCGGTGACTAAATCTCCTTCATAGAGAATTCTCATTAGAGATAACTAGTAACACAAGTCTCTAGTGATCCATGCACAGCTCCTGAGGCTGGGCCACTGAAATGGAAAAGAAGCTATCGTAGTGGAGTGGAGCTAGGTGCACCATTCTTAACCTCATGCTGTAACCAGCAGCCCCAGCAGAGGAAGGAGAACTCAGAGCTCCAGATGTTTATTTTGATGGAAGGGACACATCAATCATACAGCTGTGAGTAAGTTCTGGATCAGGAACCCTAGAGGAAGTCGTGGAGTTGGTATTATTCTCTTATGTGTCTACACTGTCACAATCTGTCACTTGGAAGAAGATTTTAAGAATAAGTCTATCAGATACCTCAGTGGATAAGCTAATGTGAGCAAGATGGCAGAAATTATCCCATTTAGTTATTCCATGTTCAGCCAGAGAAAGTGAATTTTTCTAATTAACCTAAAGGATCCTGTAGCCTAGTGGAAGTCACTCTGATGCTACTCAAACATGACCCTAAACTTCCCACTCCAATATTACTGCCATTCTGAGTGGAGGTAGGCCTCACCAATCTCCATATTCCTTTACTGTTGGGAGCCAAATCTCAGGGCTTGGCAGGCCACATAGTTAACCCTTACATAGCAGCTCCTTCGAACCTCAGCTCAAGAAAAGAAACAACCTGACCCAGTCCTCCACCCACAGGCTCAGTCACCTAAGCAACCCTTCCTGGACCTCTTACTCATAAATTCTTTACCCTGCCAAACATCCTCTTAGTGGCTTCCTAAAATCCCACCTACACTAACACCTGGCTCACAAACAACCCATTCTTCCCCTCCCCATATCCTGCTCTGTTGACTGTATAAGCTAGCCTGAGAGAAAAATAAAGTTTGCCACTTGATCAGAATCCTGTCTTGTGGTCGTTCTTTCTGCGTCTCTTGTCCCCATTCCCTATCCCTGACTCTCTTGCTCCAGGTTGACGTCCTGCAGGTCGGGATACTTTACCATTGTCTTCTCGTTAATCATATGCCTTCTTTCCCAACTCCTAGCCCACACCTTTACCTGTAGTATTTTTCTGGGTGAGCCCTGACATTTTGCCTCCAGTTCCTGTCAATTTTCTCATACTGCTGCTGTAGATTGGCCTCATAGCCCTTCAGTCTCCTCAGCACCTGTTCTTCTTCATTCTCCAACCTCCAAAGGTAAGACTTCTCTTCTTCATGTAGAAAATTCTGGATATTCTTGAAGCTAGACTGGATCCTATATGGCAGCCTAGAGTCAATGAAAACTGATCAAACTTGGGAACACAGCAATCTTTGAATTAACCACTAAATAAACAAAATGTGGTGTAGAAAACTCAACAAGGAGGAAACTCGACGTCATCCTGCTAATTGAAATAAGTACAAAACTTGGGAAGTAATACTTTTACAATTCTTTCACTCACATCACCAGCAGTGGTAAATTTCATAGACACAGATTACAGTGGTTACCAAGCATTGGGAGACAGGAAGAATGGCAGTTCCTGTTTCAGTTTGAAGAGTAGAAAAATGTCCTGGAGATGAATATGGTGATGGTTATACAACAGTCACAAAAAGCTCTTAATGTCCTCAACTGTATAGTGGACCATGGCAAATAGTTAACCAAGGCAAATATTATGCTACATACATATCACCACCACCAAGCCCCCCAAAAGAAAGCAGGATCAGCTTCACTGAGGTAAGTTCCTAATGAGTCACTCAAACTGAAAGAATGCTTTAAGTGCCTACCTGGCACTCAGAAGTTGGTGGAGATAGTGTCCCTAATACCTTAATTAATTTAATTCCTGATTACTTTTTCTTCTGATTCAACCACGATATGGGAGAAAGGTGGGGTAGGAAATCTGGAAACTTGAATTATAGAAGCAGGGCATTGTTCAAAACAGTGGTAAGGGGAAACACAAATTTGTATTTGATGAGTAAGAAGGCATCTCTGAGGCTGGTGGAATTCCTTGCAAGCTGTGAAGAACATCACTAAGAAGGAATTGTAAGACAACTACACTGGTACAGGAGACGCCTTGATTCCTGGAAAAGGAGGTACTGGTGTATCTGGCTTTTGATACGGCTGGGGACCATTACCCGAAGCCCAGGGTCACTGTTCATTCCTAGGCATAAGTCAGCAAGACCCAAATGTTTATGTGATGGGATTTGACTTTCACTTTGAAGTCAGAGACTTGAAATGTTCATGAATGCTCTCTGAAGTTGCTTCACTGACTATCATGCTGTGATATCACCATGGTTTAAGATTAATGGACATTGTATGTGGGAGACAGGCACAGCTGTAGCCTTGATACAGATGAAGTTCTCCATATATATTAGATACTATTGGTTCCCTCCATTCCCCACAATCCAGAAAGACAGGAAGTAAAGGAAAACATGTTCAGGAAGTTAAACATCCGTATGTAAAGGAAACTGAGGGAAGAAACGGCACTAGCTGTGGAAACTGACTTTAGAGTAATTGGTAAGTCTCAAACCCAGGGTAAATGACTCACTGGGGTACCTATTTAACATATCAAAGTGGACCTGGCCACCAGGTTCTTCTAGCATCCCTCAGTCTCTACCTGTTACAGGGTCCTTTTGGCTGGCATGCCGCATCCTTACACTAAACTTCTGCAGCCCAGGAGCAAGGTCATATGAGCAAAGTTCATGTGAATTCAAGTTGTAGACAATCACAGCAACAAGGCATGCCTGGAAACACTATCTGAATAGCAATTATAAGATAGTGGGAAATCCGAAATAAATCCACTTCTATTTATTACACCTTGGAGGGGCAGGAAAGCACATTCCAGGAACAATCCTGTGTGGAGCGCTGAGGTCACAAGACTCTTGTCCTGTTATCTCACAAGCACTCAGAATCACTGACAGTGTTCCACCACTCAGGCATCAACTTTCTGACCTTGCTATGATAGTCAGAATTCAGCTCTTGAGCTCACCAGGTCAGAAACCAGTCTTTGAGAGAATTCAGCAAGAAGAGTCACTCCAGGTTGAGTATCATGAGGGCAGAAAAGGAAACCTATGTGATTTCTAAGACAAAGGGGTGGGTATTGCTGTAAAACCTGCATACCATGGCTGCAGATCATAGAACTTAAGCCATTTCCATGGCTGATTGTTGAGACTGCCTACATGTCTGAAGTATTTTCTTTCTGGAAATTACTTAACGAAAACAAGGGAAGGGCATGTCTGCTCCTAGATATGGTACAGAAGAAGGTTTAATGTGGATATGAGGAACAGTATAGCAAGAGGCAGAGACATCTAAGAGAGTCCAGAATGAACATGATCCTGAGGCAGGCCACATGAAGGGATGGGGGAGTGGAGAGCAAGATAGCCAAGAGAGTAAAGGGTGGACCAAAAGAGCCAGGTAACCAAATGACTGTATTATATTGGGAGAAACATAAAAATAAACTGGCAAAATATAATATAAATTATATAAAATATATTATATAATCATTAAATACAATTTAACATAAATAAATTAAAATATAAACTGTCTGATGCTCTTGGTTGGCTATTGCATGAGACTTTAGTCCACCTCATTTTTAGGCTCCATTCTTCCAGGTTCCACCTCTTCCACAACACTGACACCAGAGTACCAGGTTAATGCATTTAAAACATGAAACAAAATGTGCCACAGAGTGAATCAGTATTATTGAGTATTAAAGATGAAAGTCTTGGGGCTAGAGAGATGGCTCTACAGTTAAAGAGTGAATACTGCTCTTACAGAGGACCTGATTTTGGTTCCCAGGACCCAGGTGGTTCACAGTCACCTGTCACAGTAGCCCCAGGAGATCTGATGCCCTCTCCTGGCATCCTTGGGTACGTGAACTCACACACCCGAAACTCATACACACATATATTTAATTTTTTAAATAAAATATTTTCTTTTAAAGAATGAAAGCTTGGGCCACAGAACAAAGATGGGGGTTGAGGACATCCTACTAGGTAAAATGTGTATGAGATGTTGGTACATTACACCTAAGTACGGTGGCAACAAGTTCATATCTTAGAGAGGAGGCTGAGTCCAAGGAAACTGAGAAGCCAGGTTAGCTTCTGACTGGATTATTAGAAATCCCATTCAGATGGGAGGACTTGGTGACAATATTTCACGGATGTAAACAACTAGGCTATGGAAACAGTACTGCGTTCTTTGGGTTTCCTCTGTATTGGTGATAACCAGCCATCCTGTGTTTCTCCCAGTCATCCTCGATGCCTAGACTCACAACAAAAAGGCACTTGATACCAGTGAACTTAGCTTCCAGGTATTTATTTCAGTTGTCATGAGATGTATCTGAAATTTGTCATCTTTTCGGAGTTCACTCAGTTTTGTCACAGTATTCTCATGCTTTTCCTGATGAAAACACAAATTCATATCAATCATTTTGAAGCAGGGTGATCTTGATCTCACTGAGTAGTCAAAGACGGTCTTGGACGTCCTCCCTTCACTGTTTGAGCACACAGAACATACTTGCACCACCATACCCTACTTTATGCACCATTGGTGAACATTGAACTCAGGGCTTTGTGCAAGCTGAGAAAGCACACTATCAACCTACTACATTCCCTCATCCTCAATTTGATTCTCCACTAAGCGTTTAATATGCATCTTATACTCTAAGATGTGGTAAAATCACAGTGAATAGCTATTGAGCTTTTAATAAATTTCTCACAGAGCATGCTGAAGGTTGTATATATGGTAACTTACTGAGTGCCTTAGCAATCCTCACAGTTGGTAGGATTCTTAACATCCTTGCTGTGCCATGGGGAATGAGGTTTAGAAAGGGGTCAAGTAACTCGCCTCAGGAGCCATAACTGGGAATCTCAGGAGTACAACTGGGATTCCAGTCTCATTTGCTGAACCACCTCCATCACCACAGACTCACTTGGGGAAGGTTGTCCTAGATTATCATAACCATTCTCAGGGAGAGTTTATAAAATATGAGCAGAACCAAACGTAGCCAATACTGAGATGGTTGACACAGCTGGGACTCTGTATGTATTATGGGTGAGTTAGAAAGGAAAGGTCATGATATTAATTGAATTTAGTACAGTTTGGAGAGAAGAGGGATCTGGAGATGGCACCAAGAAACCACCTTCAAAGAATTGGTGTCCTTGTCAAGTTTCTCCCCATCCTCAGGTTAATTTCCAGTGTGGTTTCTCATATTTTCACTGAGAGCAATTTGAGGCTACCAGAAACTGCCAGTAAGGATCAAAGATAAAATAGTTGACTTCAGTCCTCTGTGAACTCCACAGATGTGTATGCATTGATTTCCAAGGGATCTCACAGAGTCTGTGACTGATTTAGAAATGCACACTATTGCCTTTGCTGTATGTCACATGTTCTAAATTTTACATAGTATAATATCTATAAACAAATATAACCCACAGCATATGTGCTGAGGACTCCAATGCCATCATATCTGTTTACAGACAGGAATAACAAGATAGTAAAACTTTAAGCAAATTAGCACAGTTATCTATCTGCTCAGTGCCCAGGTATAGCTCCACCCTATCAGTCTGCCTCTGTGACTGGTCACTGTCACCCTGTTTTGCTCCTTTTCTTACTACTCAGTGGAATAATTATCCAAATAGCAATCTCTGCATTGCAGTTGTTCATGGGAGGCTAAGGAAGAGCCCTGTGTGCTGAGTGGCAGTTGGCACTAATCCATCCTTAGGAAAGACCTGAGGCCTTTATATAAGACTGAGCTTCATGGAAGAGAACATGAGGAGCCCACACTGAGTATGTCTTCCTGCAAGTCACAAGAATAGACTAGGATCAAGACAGCAGTCAGGTATGGTGGTGCATGCCTTTGATCATCACAGCACTGGGAGGCAGAAGTAGGGAGAGTTCAAAGCCAGCCTGGTCTACATAATGAGTTCCTGACAGCCAAGGGCTATGTAGAGAGACCCTGTCTCAGAAAAACAAAACAACAACAAAATCAAAAGAGAGCATGTGTCAGAGCAGAAGGCCCTGTGCTCTCAAGGGAGGGCCTAAGAGCCACGGCAATCCTCCCTCCACATAAATACCACAAGCATTTATTTTGAGATCTTTGATTCTTCAGGAGTCTTGTTTGAACCTGCCCTTTCACACTCTTAATTATGAAGATAATTTGAAAAGTCCCCTTGATGTTTAAATTTTACAGCACCAGATCATCTCAGTGCCTCTGGCCCTTCACTTCTCAAATGGACAGTCCTCCATAGTTTGTACCATTTGGCCTAGGATTTAGAATTGGAAGTGGTGGGAAGGGTCTGGGCTTTGGCTTTTTTTCTCCATGTAATCACCTCCCTTTCCTTCACAGGGCTGCTTGGCTTGGCCATGATGATCAGGAAGTTTCTATGGTGTGACTTTGCTTGTGTAGAGTCTCTCCTACAATCTTGGTGGGTGATGATGATGATGATGATGATGATGATGATGATGATGATAGGCTTTTATGTGGGTGCTGGGATCTGAACTTGGGTCCTTGTTACACGGCAATTCTCATAAGAGAATGGACACTTTTAGAGCCCCCCCAACCATTATACTTACCTTATAGCCCTGGTACATATCTTCCACAAGAGCCACAGAGTGACCTTTGTGCCAAGCCTCCCAATTACAGCTCCAGCAGAGGAGCTGACCCTCATCTTCACAAAGGAGATCAAGCTTCTCATCGTGGTCTTCACACAGCATCTCATCATCCTTCCCTTCCATCTCCTTGATGACATCAATTATGTTTTCCAGCTCCTTGTGGGGCCGGAGGTTCTCTAAACTAAATGGACTCCTACACAAAGGACAGCCCAGCATTATCTTCAATTCTGTCTTTGGGCTGACTTTGTTATAGTAGCTCTGGATGCAGGATTTCCAGTAACTATGTCCACAGTTGATACTCACTGGGTGAGTTCTTTGCAGATGGAGCAAGAAGAGATCTCTATCATCTTTATCATGCTAAAGTTTAAGCCCATGGCTTTTCCTGAGAAGTTTGCAAATGAAGCAAACAGAAGTGAAGAAATAGTTTTTATGATGCTAGATGTACAGCTCACCTAAACTCAAGTCACTGGCAGATACTGGTTTTGGAGGTTTGAAGTCTCTAGAAAAGAGAAACATTGGAATTGAGAAGATGCATAAATGGTCTCATGGTATTTACATAATAGCCACTATCCCATTGGGCCATTTACATTCAACCTAATAAAAGTTTAATCATTTTAAAGTCCAGTTTCTCAGTCTTCCTGGGCACATTCCACTTTCCTAATTGCCACACAAAGCTGGTGATGACATGATAACCCAGACATAGAATAGTTCATTTTTGTTCAGTGTTCTCTTGTGCCATGTGTTGAGAAAGGCAGAGGCAAAACTACTTCTCAGAAGTTGAACTCAACTAGAGAGTGTGAAAAACTTTCCCATTCCAATGAGCTCAGGAATAGTGCAATAGATGTCATTATTTACAACTGCTGGGACATTCAACCTGTCTACTCAACCAGATTTTGCACATTCTTTTCCTGGGTCTAGCTGGGTTAGTGTGCCTGATTCTCCCCTCAATGGACCTTCACTGAACTCCCAGATCTAGCCCTGCATGCATCCCATACCCAGTGTCCTAGCCTAGTCTGGCCACCCCTACCTTTGTCACAATCATCCTCGAAGCTTCCACCAGGAAAGGCCCCCTCTGCCCCCACCCATAGGCTCCTCCCACATCACATCTGGCTTCTCCACTCAGACAGATCCTGCACATCCTTCTCCATTGTCTAGCCTGGTAGGTCTGCCTAAGTTGTCCCTTCGCATACATTCCTCGCTACCCAGCTCTAGCCCCAAACCCCAGGATTGGACCAGGACACATACTGTACACCAGCCCAGCCCATGTGTCCATTTGACTTCATTTCATCTAAACCATACCAAGCCTCTAGGCCTAACCCAGCACACACCCAACCTCCTCTGTCTGTATCAGATATAGACCTAACAAAAGAAGTGCACATACCCAGATCCCATTGCAAAATTACAAATAACATGGAACATCAAGGCTGTATCTCCCCACCCCTCAAAAAACTCACTGTTCCTGGAGAAATGTTTGCCAATGAAGTGTTCCCAGCTGAACCTCTAGACACAGAATTTAAAAGAAGAACCACAAACCTTATCATAGAATTAAAGGGGTTTAAAGAAAAAATGAAGAAACAGCTCAATGAACTTAAAGAGAAAGACTTGGAGAGAATAAAAGTGATGCTCAAGAAAACACAAACATATGGCTGATGGAATTGACAAAGAGAATCCAGGGTTTAAAAACAGAATTCAGTAAAGAGATAGGAACATTTAAGAAGACTCAAACTGAAATGAGGATGGAACTAAAAAACCCAATTACCCTACTAGAAAACCCAAACAAAAGCCTTACAAGCAGGATGAATCAAGTGGAAGACAGAATATCAGGACTCAAAGATAAAGCAGAGGATCTAGACAACAAAAGCAAAGGCTGGTTGACTAGATCCAGAAACAAATTTCATTTATCTTTTATCTACAAGAAAACATAGCTTTAAAGATAGGCACTGTCTTAAAGTACTTCAATTAAATGGGACCAGGAAGCAAGCAGGTGTCACTATCCTAATATCTAACAAAATAGACTTCAAACTTTATAACTGTTGGGAATACTCAGATGGTCAATGGAGATTCCAGTCAGATTATCAAATTTGAATCTTCCTAAACCCCTACCCCCAAAGATCACAATGCATCTTGATAGTAAAATCTCAGTGAAGACACAAACAGGAGGATGACAAATATAACTGGAGCAACTAGAACTGATTTATTGGTGAGACTTTTTTGTCTGTTTGAGACATGGCTTACCTACATAGCCCTGACTGGCAAAACAAACAAATCAACCAACCAACCAACCAACCAACCAACCAACCAAACAAACAAACAAACAAACAAACAAAAAACCCAAACTCTACGTTTATCAGTCTGATTTGGGAGGTAGTTCATATGTTTGTCTTTGCCTCTGAGTACTGGCATTACATGTACATACCACCAGACCTGGCCAAAGATTGGTTTGATTCTTGTGCCAAGAGAACTGAAAAGATGCCTGATGAGGGGAGAATGGTACAGGGAGCAGCATTCCTTAAGAACTAGGGGGTTTATATCTCTTCTCTGTGCCAGAACCTGTTCCCAGAAGTTTAGGTGGTGAGAACTCAGGGAGTGTCATGTCAGAGCCTAGGATATAGAAAAAGTGGAAAGGAGGCCAGACCTCAATGAGAACCACAGTTCTGATATGCCCCATGAGGACATGACCAGAGGGAGTGGAATGGTGTTTAACAGCAACACTTTCTGCTTCCTGTCCTATGGCAGCTGCTTCTGAGACCCATACCAGTTCTACACATACACACACACACACACACACACACACACACACACACAGAGAGAGAGAGAGAGAGAGAGAGAGAGAGAGAGAGAGAGAATTAAAACAGAAATTCAACTAAACTGAAAAAGAGGCTGCATTCCTCTTAAAGCCAAGACACAGAGCACAGAGCCACAAAGGATTTCTTCAGAAGCCTTCTGGTCACAGGTAAGATACTGATACCATGGGATGCAATTGGGCCTTCTTTGTAGGGAGATACCACATTCCTGGCAAATGGGCTTCCCCAATTCTTCAAAGATCCCAGCAGCCCAGCCTAAGCTTCACTCACCTGTGTTTTCTGAGATTGCTTGTGTCATTTGAGAAGTAAAAGCAGACTCAGATGTGAGAGGAGCTTTTTCCAAGCTGTGGGGAGGGGGCCTCTGTAATGTGGAGACACCACTCTCCACTCAGCTCTCCCCACATTGCATATTAGTCACCACGTTTAACAACCTTCCCTCCCGAGTACACAGGCTGGCATCTCAGGAAGACAGGCATGGATCTAGTACTGCCCTGCTGAGCAGTTGTCAAGCCCAGAAACCCTAGGAATCACTGCTGAGTCACTTCACAATCCAAAGCACTGTGGGAGGCAGGTAGACGGCCAATGGAGTTGCTCCTGTCCTTTGACCCCTCTTATCCTTAAAGAAAGGAGAGGACAAAAAGAACACGATGTAAAGTATTTAACTCGAGGAACAAATTAGTGACAAAGCTCAAAACTCTCTTGTGACCCAGCAGGAAGAGTACAGAGGGTCAGCACATGCTCCGATGTGAGTTCTCTCTACTTTTACTTCCAACCCTCTTGGGACTCGAAAGGCTTCTAAAGCTATGTTATATCATTGGCATTTTGAGGTCATTTATTGATTTGCAACTGCTCCAGTAGCAGTCGTGCAAAGGGGAGGTTGTCATAGTTCACTGACATTACAAAATTTCCCCAAGCCAGCCAGCTGTTTCTCTGCCCTGCTCGGGAGTTACCTTTCCTCTTCATCACGCCTCTGCAGGATACAAATCCATTTCAATGAGCAGACTCAATGATACAGAACAGGGAACAACAGACACTACTGTTGAGACAGTCAAGACACTCCTCATAGATACCTACATGCCAGTGTGCCCAGTGCTTTATAGAGAAAAGCTTTATAGCTGGAGGTGAGGGTATCACATACTGAGTGATTCAGCTCAGCCTCTCTATTCCAAAATCCAAGCAAGAGTGATATTACTAAGATAGAATTATTATAGAAAGGAGGGAAATGAATTATCCTATTCAATCAAGGCCTGACCACATTTGTAACTCAGGTTAATGGGAAAAGTACAAATACCTTTTCTGCTTGCTTAAGTAATAAACACATACAATGGTTCAAGGGAGCTGAGGGCACAGGAGGGAGCATGAGTTAAACTTGGATTCTGGAGTCACCTGAGGAATGATCCTGATAGTTGCTCGTGTCTGGTGCTGGATCCTGAGATTGCAAAGTGTACATGGAGTTCATTCCAGCCACTGTGGAATTCAGAATAGAAGCAAATGTTAGACCAGTTCCTACCTCCCCATCTCAAATAGAAGACTCTTCAGCACTGTGAGGTCTAGAGGCGGCAACAGTGCCACATACCATGTGATGAGGTAGAATGATCTCCTGTGTCCTGGATTCCAGGATGACCCCCCACACACACCCATGACTTTTGTTGTGTACTTGTGAGTCTGTACTCAAGTATGATTCATCTCAAGATCAAGAAATGGAAGTTTATGAATGCCAAAAACAACTACCACTACCCCAAAACCCACCAGCAACACAAAAGCAAGAGTCTGTCTCATGACCGCTTTCCCTCACACCTGTGTCCTATCTCATGAATAACAGTGTTGCAGAATCCCAACTGGTGTCCCTTCGGGGTGGGGGAAAGGCATAGGCAACAAGTTGAAACAAGAAGCTCAGTTTATTCCGGAAGGGGTTAGCCTTACATACTCTTCAACCCTGTCCTAGGGCAAAAGAGTCACTGAGCTGACATCTGCTGAGGTGATGTGGTCGCTGTCCAAAGGTCCCTGTCCATGTGGTCAAGGCCCTCTGGCAGACCCAGGTTGGCTGTCAGGAAATATCTACTGTGCATCCTCTTACTATCAGTCTAGTCTGGCTGTTAAGGAGATTATCTACTCTACGTGCCCTAGGCCAGCTGTCAGGCCCATTAAGGCTTAGTTATCCCCCACAACAGGGCATAAACAGGGAGAGAGGTTTTCAGGTAAGACTTCAGAGATATACTGCCAATGCTAAAGCCCAGAAACACTGTCCTGTGTCGTTTTATGTCAACTTGACACAAGCTAGAATCATATGAAAGGCTAGAACATTAACTGAGGAAATGCTCCCATAAGACCCAGCTGTAGGGCATTTTCTTAACCAGAGAGTGATGGGGAGGGCCCAGCCCACTGTGTGTGCTGTCATCCCTGGGCGGGCGGTCCTGGCTTCTATGAGAAAGCAGGCTGAGCAAGCCATGAGGAGTGTGGTAGTTTGAAGGTAATTACCCCTCCCCCACCCCCAGTGTCATAGAGACTGGCACTATTAGGGAGTGTGGCTTTGTTGGAATGGGGATGGCTTTGTTGGAGGAAGTGTGTCA